CGCTTGCTCTTTAGTAAATAAATCAAAGGCATTTTCTTTTATTTTACCTTTATTCACCCACCGAGGACACGCTCCTCCCACACCCCGCTGCAGCTGCTTCTTGTTCTGGTCTGAACACTAGTGCGTTCTTCGGTCTGAACATAGAGCGTCCAGTGAGAGACGTTTTGCGCTTTTTGGCCGCTCAAAACGCGTTTGGTGTGAACGTAGCATTAGTCTTTGAGCAGTGATTGAGGCTTACTTTTCAGTCTTTTTCTGTCTGCCCAACATGACGCTGACTGTCACAAATCGTAGAAATGTAAAACATCACGACGAGTGACAGTCCTCTCATGCTCACAGGTCAAGAAATTTAAGATCCAACCTGTAGTTTTTGCGCAGCATTGACTGTTTATTTGAGGCTTACTTTTTAGTCTGTTTCTGTCTGCCTATGTTGAATCTGTCTGACAAAAATTGTAGAAACTTTAAAAAAACGTGAGTGACTTTTGGATTCTTCCAATGCTCACAATTCAAGAATATTTAAGTGTAGTTTTTCTGTAGTGGCTTTTTGTTTGAGGCTTACTTTTCAGTCTGTTTCTGTCTGCCTCACCTGAAGTTGACTGTCAGGGAGTGAAAGATATATGTCTGATTACCAYTGTGATCATAATGAGCCGTTGGCAACAGCTTTTCCATTTTTGTTCACTTTATTTTGGGTTCAAAACGTTTTCAGAAATGTTAGTTGTTGATGTTATTGTGTTATAATCCACTTTAATACATTTCTATAAAGACAACTGATGGACAAACCTCTTAATCTGATTTTATTTAAAGTAATTTTATTAAAAGTCAAAGCAACATTTGGAGCTAAATATCTCCCTCTGGTGACCCATGGAGTTCATTTGAAAAGTCACTGCTTTGTTACTAAGCTGCATTTATTACTTGTGTTTACATGACGTAGCACAACATGACCTAATGTATTAAATTAAGGGTTTACAGTCACAGAGAAACAACTCGGATCATATGGTATGTATTACTGTTGGGTAGAAAAAGGACTTTCTGGCTCACACATAGATATTTGTCTCAAAAACAGCCTGCAGTCTGAATTTGTCACAACCGATGTTCCAGTTGGAACGAGTGTTTTGTGACGGCCCGTTCTGCGCTCACGACGCACGTATGAAATGTTTACCTTAGCGACGTACATTTTCACAAACATTAACTGATTGCCCGTCAGTTGGGGCTCGTTTTGGTCCGGTTCAGAGTTATTATTCCTGGCCAGAGGTGTCTGCTCTTTTGCAACACCCGAGGGTGACAAATCTGGGTAATCTGACCCGCTGCAAGCATCGGAGGTAGCTGTTTCAACACGGTTTCTGGTGTGCGTTATAGCTGAAGGCTTAATAAATCGTGTTTACTTGGCAAGTTATGATTGTTTCTTCTTGGCACGGTGCAGAAAAGTAGTGGAAGAGGAGCCCCCACATGCAGGGTACTCGTTCCTACAAAATAAATCTAAACTGGAAGGATCTCAAAATTACGAAAGAGGACTAGAAAAGAAGATATTTTCTCAGAACTTTGGGRTTTAAGTCAAATATCTGAGAAAAGGTCTCGTGATGATCATAATCTTGGAATTATGGCTGTTTACTTAGAATTCTAAAATATCTAAGTCAGAATCTTGAAAAAGTTATAAAAATGAAAGTTATTTATTCTAAAGAAAGTTAGGCTTAGGTCTCTTTTTAAGACACTGGATTACAGTATATTAGATAGAAGGAAAATTTAAAGGCAGGTATTTGCTGTACAAATGTACTATTACTTATGTTCCCTGTACCTATGTCCTAAGGTACCTATGTTCTACGGTACTTATATTCTTCGATCCACATGTTTCCCAGTATCTATATTCTTCAGTACTTATGTTTTTTTATTCCTATGTTCTACGGTACCTATACTGTATATGTTCTTAGATACCTATGTTCTGTGRTACCTACATTCTACGTTTATTCTACAACACCTATGTTCTTCAATCACAATGGTTCCCATWATGTTTCTCRGTACCTATGTTCTCTAWTATCTATGTTTACAAATTCACAGTACCTATGTTCTCTGATATTATAATTTATGGTACCTATTTACCTCAGTACCYTTGTTCTCCTGTACCTATGTTCACCGACATCTATGCTTCCTGGCACCAATGTTCTCCGGTACCTATGTTCTTCTGTACTTATAATCTTTGATACCAATATTCTTTGAATCCTATGTCCTATGGTACCTATGCATATTCTCTGATAGAGATGTTCTTCTATCCCTATGTTTCCTTGTACCTATTTTCTCTGGTACCTTTGTTCAATGGTATTTATGTTCTACAGTACCTTTTGTATGTTCTACGGCAGTGGTTCCCAAACTTTTTATCTTCTGACCCATAAAATGTTCATGACAAAAACTTGTGACCCCAAATATTACTGGTCTGGGTACACAAACTTTGTTAATAACCCTAAAAACACAGGC